GTGAGAGAGAGAGAGAGAGTGAGAGAGAGAGAGAGAGAGAGAGAGAGAGAGAGAGAGAGAGAGAGAGAGAGAGAGAGAGAGAGAGAGAGAGAGAGGGAGAGAGAGAGAGAGAGGTCATTAATTAGTTAAGTGTGTATCTACCACTGATACACATTCCCCAGTTGCTACTCCTACCTGTCAGTATATCAGTGAGCTAGACCATGTACATGGGTAATGGATCATTCATTATTAAGTACCAGTGACACCTGCTGCTACCCACAGTTGCTTTTATGGAATGTACCGGTCTAATCTACTCCCACTATATCTTCACTCAAGCAGATATCTCAGTCCTCAGGTATTACATTACTTATACACACACACACACACACACACCTCCAGACAGGCTGGACTACATGTACATGTACATGGGTAATGGCTCATTCATTATTAAGTACCAGTGACACCTGCTGTTGCTTTTATGGAATGTACCCTAATCTACTCCCACTATATCTTCACTCAAGCAGATATCTCAGTCTTCAGGTACCCTAATTTTGGAAATTTTCGGATGGACAGAAAAATTCGAAAATAAAAAAGTTTCTTTCTTTCTTGCTCATACTCACTCTCTCTTGGTCTACCATTGAGCTCCTTGATGTCTCTTCAAAGTCATCCACTGTTACTGCTTAATATTGGAATTAAACTTAATTTCAGAACAAGATGGCTATCCAAAAATTAAAATTCATTGAAAATTAAATATCCAATTTATTTTCTACTTGGAAATTTCCAAAATTACGGTATTACATTACTTACACACACACACCTCCAGACAGGCTGGACTACATGTACATGTACAGACTAGCCTCTATATAATGGACACTGTGTCTCTGTTATACAGAGGTGTCCTTTATGTGGAGGTTATTTTATACAGTAAGGAATGTAATTGGTACACTAGGTGCTGTCTGTTAAATGGAGGTGTACGCTATAGAGAGTGTCCATTAAGAGAGACTATACTGTATACATGTACAATAGATTAGGTACAGTTAGGTCTTACATGTTAGTATGAGTGCTTTATCTGGTCTTATGGATAGCCATGGTTTAGATATCCTGTCCTGTTTATCAGGGGTTGGTTTGAACCCCAGCTGCACCGGGCGGTGACCAATGTTACGAACTTTAAGTACCTGTGTCCGCTCTACCATGAACTTAACCTTCTCAAACTTAAACTGAAGGAGAGAGAATGGAGTGTTCTAATTAATGCACATTTATTAATCTATTAATTAATTTAGTGAGTGATAATACAACAGATTAATATGACAATACACATTAACATTAATATTTCCAAAAAAATTGGTCATACAAAAGTTATTTATTAACTTAAAATCAAGCAATCTGATTGGTCAATTATAACTAGGCATGGTAGATTTATTATCATTATCAGGGGAGTAGGAACAGGGGGGGGGCAGGGGGGCAAGTTGCCCCCCCCCAATATTATTTCAGAGGGGGCATTGCCCCCTCAATATCAGCCAATGATTGACTGCAGCATGACTGCAGTGTAAATATTCCTTACAATAATTTGATTTATTACAGGCCTGTACCTAGGGGGGTGATAGGGATGACAGGTCTCCCTCCTTTTTGCTGTCATAATAATAATTATGACATTGTAATTGTAGTTGAAAAACATGTTAAAATTGCTCTC